TTAATAAAGTCATAATTATGGGTGATTTAAATTTCAGTCGTATAGATTGGAAAATGTTAAGAGTCAAACCATGAGGGAGAAAGGTTTTTGGAAACTGTTCAATACAGTTTTCTTCCCCAATTGGTCAAGGAACTTACTAGTTGCTATTTTAGATTTTTAGTTAATTTCTAATATAGAAATAGTTGAGAGAGTGGAAACTGGTGAACATCTGGGTGCAAGTGATAATTGTTCTATTAGGTTCGATGTTTTGCTGCATATAAAGATCAGGAATAATGATATTTTGGTTACAAATTTCAAAAAGAAAAACAATTTTGAAGGGATGTCACAAGAACTATGTGTTGTGAATTGGGCAGCTGCATTATTTGGAGATACTGATCAAATGTGAAAATTTTTTAAAGATAAATTTGTAAATATTCAAGATAAACATTCCTTATAAAAAGAAAAGGCTGGCTATAAGTACAAAACCAGGTTGGTTCACAAAGGGTATAAAATTAAAGAAAAGCATCACAAATGTAAAAATTTAAGTTGACTGGTTTGACAGAAGATTACAGAAGATGAGGAAAGTTGGTCAATCATGAAATTAGGAAATAAAAAAGATGTATGAAAAAAGGTTGACTGAAAATGTAAAGATTAACAGTAGGATTTCTTTAAATACATTAAGGATAAACAAAATGTTAGGATGGGGTAGGAACCTTGTGGGGTGATAAAGAAAGGCTCATACCTGATGAATATGAGATGGCTGGGTTATTAAATTCTGGTTTTTCTTCAGTTATTACTAATGAAGATTTAAGCAATATTCCTGAACAGTTGGTAAATGGAAACAAGAATGAACAAGATGATCACACTCCTGGACCAGATAATATTTCCCCAAGGGTTTTGAAGGAGTTTAAGGATTGAATATGTGAGCAACTTGCTACTATTTTTTTTTGTAAGTCTTTGAATAGTGGGGAAGTGCCAAAGGATTGGAAGTTAGCTAATGTTACTCCTCTTTTCAACGGAGGTGATAAAAATTGTCCAAGTAATTATAGGCCTAAAAGTTTGGAAAGTCTAAAGAATATGCTTTGCAAAGTCATTTAACAAAGTTTAGAATTTTATTGGCTAGTAAACTTGGTTTCACTAAGGACAAATCTTGCCTTACAAATATTTTTACATTCTTTGAAAAGGTTACTGTTTATATAGATGAGAGTAAGAGTGTAGATTTGATATATCTGGATTTTCAGAAAACATTTGACAAGGTGCCACATAAAAAGCTTGTAAAAAAATTGTCTCTATAGGTGTGGGGGATAAATTAGCATATTGGATATAGGAAAGCAAACAGTTGTTATAAATGAGGTTCAGTAAAACTGGATTAATGTCACAAGTGGGTTTAGGCTTAGGACCTTTGCTCTTTTTGATTTACATCAATGATATAGCTGAAGGAATGGTCAATAAATGATGTAAATTTGCCAATGATATTAAGGTCTTGGGTGTTGCTGACTGTGATGAGGATGCTGCTGCTTTACAAAAGCATTTTTCTAACAGGGTGGTTGGCCTCTGTAATGAGTTGCCTTTGGATGTTGTGGAGGCAGTAAGTTTAAGAAAAAGTTTGATAACTATACGAATAATATGGGCTGGCGTTGAAGTTCTTTTTAATAGTTTTAGTTTAGTTTAGAGGATGGGACAGCCTAGACAGACCAAAAGACTTAGTATTTTGACTTCACAAACATCTAATTTGAACCAGTGCTGCATTCAACATACCACGTGTCACACACAAATCGATGTTTAACTGTGTTTTTAATATTTGCTTTTAAATTAAGAAATTGAGTAATATATAGTACTAAAATTTGAATTATAATCTACAGTTTGATACCAAACTTATTGTCATAAATTCATGAAATAGTAGTTCAATAAAATTTTGAATGCGAGTCAACAAACAAGATGACATGGCCTTTCACTCATGACCCATCTCGAAAGAGTTAATATACATATGTGATAAACTGTTTTTAAGTTTCTAAAAATAGCACATGTCTAAGTTTAGATCTACATAGTTTTAACTAACATTTCAGAGATTTCTTGAAGTTGTCTAGATCCAAACCTGCATTGAACATGTGTGCCATAATTAGAGGCCTACTATTGTGTAATCCACCCCCACCCCCAAAAAAATAAATTATCACTCAGTACATTGTTTAACAAATTTTTATCGCTCGGTACATTGTTGCCCAATAAAGGCTCCTGTACGGCCAAAAGCTCACAAATAAAAGTATTTTAATGTACAGACAATTCCGTGTATAATTCTACATATTAATTTATCTATGTTATGAGCCTTAAACAACAATTTTACATATACGTTGGTGCTAATGACAGGCGGATTGTTTGCATAATACAACTGTCATTAAATAATATGAAGTAACGCACCTTTTTTTGAAAAAAAAAAGTTCATTACACTTGATGTTAATCCAGATCATGCTTTTATAAGTTCTTTTTTCTCACCCATGTGGCTTATTAGAGTCGATCTCCCATACAGGAAACATCAAGGATTTTTTTGACACACAATACAGCATGCTTTTATGTTTAATCCATCAGCACCCAGTCATTTTTTGTCCTTCTCTTGTTCCTTCCAAGGTCGTGAAAACCCACCTCTAGGCCTACAGAATCTAGTCTATTTAGACCCAAAAGTTTAACCTGGCTTGGATTCTAGGACTTATGTAACACACAAACAGTCTTGAACAGGTTTACATGTGTACACTCTACAGCTATGTTGACTTTAACCATTACTAGTGTTGATTCAAGCATGAGAACACACGAGCTTATTAGATCTTTACATATGCATTAACTATATACTACTTACTAGGTTAAAAAAAATGATACAAGTTCTTTGAATATATTTATATATTGAGCAATTACGCAAGTGAATGATTGTGTCAGCACTTATCTTACACCAGATTACTGTTTCTTTAGTCAGCAATCAGATTTAGCAATTGCTCTGGACAGTATACTTCTAGGCCTAATCAACAACACTGTGAATCATAATATACATTCCAGAATTTCTCATTTTCCAGATATACAAAGAAAAGTTACATTTTTCCAGCGTGGAAAATCACTTTTACAGCTTTTCAGTCTTTTTACAAATCGAGTTATAATCAAACAAATCTTATTTTACCCTGCCCTATCTCCATACATACAAGTACTAGTTATACTATCTAATTCATATCACTGCCTGTTTCATACAATGCCAACAATAAAATCAAATTTTGTTTGGTCTAGATGACAATGAAAAACAAGTAAGAAAAACCTTTAAAAAAAAGAAGTAAATGGAGGGATGGCTAATATCCATCCTTCCAAAACAATGCAAGCCGGGTAGCAGGGATGGCATTTGCATCATCCCTACATCAAACATCATCCCTACAGGCAAACAGCGTAGTAGAATGTT